TATGATTACTTGTAAGGTGTTAAATTGTATTTTTGGAAATAGGTAAAATATAAATGAATAAATAAGAATTAGTGTTACTGCAGTACATAGTGATATCTAGATTCTGATTTTAACCACATTTAACTTTTCCTAGAAATATTTACATAATTAGTTAAAAATTTAATCTACTCATATTATTATACATGAGGAATTAGGAGTAAAAAAATAATCGATTTGGAAATCAGCCTAAAAGAATATGCTCATGACTCTAGCAGCAGCTTTCTGTCTCATCCACAATATAGTGGCTCATGTTTTTATTAAATCAATGGGATTGTATCATTTCTAAAAGATGGATGCTCCAAGGAAGCTTCTACAGTAATAGACTACAAAGAAGAGCAGTAAACTATGGCTCTCCCATCTCGATTTCTTTGCTCAACATGCAAATAGTGTATTCTAAATTTATTTCTGCTTGTAACCTTTTTTTGCTTGTGGAAGTGGCTCAATTGTCATGTGAGAATTAAGGCAAGAGAACATTAGGGTAGGCTGACCTTAAACTTACCTTCAGATAAGTACATAGACCCAGCTTCTAGGAACTTAACAATATGGATTTGTTTTTTTGTTTGTTTGCCTTTTGGCAAATAGCTTTATAAAGCAATTATAAATAATAGACATTTTATGAGATACTGTCATAGTACTGAAATTCCCTTCTCTGAGAATTGCTTCCCCTGATCACCCTACTCACTCCTACCACCTCCCACTGTCCCTGATAACATGGTCTCGTTCTGTTTTCTCTGGCTGGAGTTTATTGAACCAAGGATTAATGCTGGGTCCAAGTGGGCTGATTACATCCTTCCATAAGGAATTGGATTCTGGAATTCCTCTCCATTTCGAGTAGTAGCTGCTTCAACTGAGGACCAGCAAGATTTATACCAGGGCACAGAGAAGCAAAGAAACCAGTATACAGAATGCACAATGTATACAGAATGCACAATGAACATAGAACAGACCAGGTGCTGCAGGGGCAAGTGAAGGGAAGCTGACATTCTTCCCTGACTGCTCTTTCCATTTCCTGTTTCCAGTTCTATCACAGGCCTACGTATATTCTTTAACTTAGATATTGAAGGAATACCCATATCATTGGATCACAAATGTCCTGATACTGTTTTTTTCATTTGTGCAAATTTGCTAAACACTAAAAAAATAAATAAATATTTCAAATAAAGGATTAGGACAATTTCAATTTGAATACACCATGTTCTACTTTTAGAAATAAGCCTCTGGCCACAAACAGGCTATCATTTCAGAGTAATATAACTCATCTCAAAGAAGTAAAATTAGCATTATTAGAAAGCATGAATTCTGTGAGACTTGGGAGAAAAAATTAAGATGGAAAGTAAAAATGAAAGAATTGCTCCAAGATAACTTTTTGGCAAATAGTTTTATAAAGCAATTATAAATGATAGACATTTTATGAGATATGGTTACAGCTCTTAAAACCCTTCTCTGAGATTACTTCTCCTGATCACCCTACTCACTCTTATTACCTCCCAGTGTCCCTGATAACATGGTACTCTCTCTTGTTTCTCTGGCCACAAATTTAACTCTTTGATAAGTATATACATGAATCTAAAATCAAACAAACTTCAGTGATAGAAAAAATATAAATAAAACATTAAATTTTTAAAAAATATTAGGACACAAATGTTTGGACATATGAATATATTTAGCTATTGAAATAAGGACTCTTGGATATACGAATCCACTGATATAATGGGAAATATACTGGGTATACAGGCTTCTTGAAACTAGATACTTATCACTTAAAATGTAAAGATTTTCTAGACACTCTTAATTTCTGCATCATAATTATAAATATGATGAAGAAATTCCTATATAGTAATTAGAATTCTTTTTTTTTTGGCGGTGGTGAATGACATTGTTTCATGGTTTATGATTTGGCTTTTTGTTTGTCTCCATATTTTCTATTGATGTATTCTAGTTGTACATAATGGTAAAATTTGTTGTTAAAGTGATACATGCACATGACATAACAATAGAATTCATAAAAGAATAAGCCCTACTTCTCAATTCTTTTTATAGCCATCACTTCTGTCACATCTTCTTGAGAACTCCTATAATGCTAACTAACAAACACCAGTAACTTAGTGATGTGACAACAAATGACAGCCTGAAGATTCATACAATGAATGGGACCTGTTATCATGTAGGGTTTTCTATGACCTAATATACTTTTTTGATCAGAATGTACTGTGTATTGATCAGAATTGTTAATATTGTATTCTATATTGGAAATCTGCTAAGGAAGTAGCTTTTAGGTGCCCTCACTGCACTAAAGGTAACTTGGGAGGGTGATGGATATGTTAATTATCTTGAGTAAACATTTTATCACGTATATCAAAATATCTTTGTAGACCTTAAGTGTACACAATAAGAAGAAAAATTTATCTCTAGGAATTAGCAGAAAACAAAACCAGAAATTAAAAAAAATCGATTTTATAACTAAATTATATTAGACATGTTATGTCATGTTAAAAGAAAGGAATAGTTTTAAATACAAAAACCTGACAATAGTTTAACTTAAAACTGACATTTAAGAGTTTCTTTAATTTACATATTTTGTTTTCATCTTCAAGCATCCTATAGGTAAAAAAGATCTCATATTTTTTCATATAAAAATCTTTTTTGCCATGGTAATTATGATCTAAATGTCCCATTATTAAGCCAGTAAATTGTTCTATAAAGTTTTTTTTTAAGATATTAAGGGTTGAAAACAGACAAGAATTGAACATACTTGTGAGGAGAGTAGAATCAGAAATATCAATAGCAAACACATCATTAGTTTACAAGTTAATGTTTTTTGGTTAATAGTGACCACAAAAGCTTCTATAGGGAATAAGGGCTTTATTGAAGGGCTCATTTAGCTCACAAGCACTAACAATATGCTGCAATTAAGCAATTCTAATCATTTCAGAGTAATATAACTAGATATAGTAATATAACTAGATATAGATACCAGTTTAATAAGTAGAAAATGAAGAGAAACTACTTAACATGTTACAGAATAGTCCCATGAAAACAAAAGTTTTCAGTTTTCCTTCTATATACATACTTTATATTTAGAAAAGTGCCTAACACACAGTAGGTGTTGAACTATCAAATGAATGGGTTTTCTTTACAAATGTCTAGGATGTTAGTACAGCTTTACTGGCCCTTTCCCATTCTTAAAGACTGCTATGGTTTGAATGTTTGCTCCCTCCAAAAGTCATGTTAAATTTAACTTCAGTGTAACAATGGGACCTTTAAGAACCGATTAGATTAGGAGGGCTCACCCTCAGAAGTGGTATTGGTGCCTTATAAAAGGGTCAGTTTGGAGTCTTGTTCTTTTTTGCTCTCTACCTTCCCTTCTGCCCCTTGATGACACTACATAATGGCCTTACCAAATGCTCATGCCTTTGCCCTGAACTTCCCAGCCTTCAGAAAGATGAGCAATAAAGCTCTGTTCTTTAACTATCCGTCTCAGGTGTTCTGTTATAGCAGCACAAAATAGACTTACACAAAGACATATTTGCATTTTATGGCCATCCATAATCTTCGGTATCCAGCTATCCCTGGAAGCTAACTAAGCATTAGAAATAAACTTCTATACCTCCTCTGCCACTGACTAGTTATGAAACTTAAGGCAAATTGCCTTGTGATGGGACCATTCTAGCCATCAACTTCTGCTTATAAACTTTGGTGGCTGTAATAAGCTTTGTAGCTACTCTCTAGTTCTTGATTTTTGTAATTTATATATCCATTCAAGAATTCTGTTTTAAACATTGTTTTCTAACAGCATTTAAAATATAATTTGATGGATACAAATTTTCCTTGGTTAAAAACCTACAGAAATATACTTCTGATACTAAATGAGAGGCAAACAATGCTATGATTCAGAAAGCTTTACCACTGTCTTTTAAGTGGCATTAGCATAGAGGCAGAAGCTTTAAATATTCCTAGCAAGTAAAATATCTACCTCTGAAAAGTGATAGATATACAGAGAGCCCCCAATTTACAATGGTTCAACTTAAACAATTTTTTGAGTTTATAATGATAAGAAAAAGCAACATGTTTCTAGAAGAAACCATACTGCAAGCTGTGGATTATTCCCAGGCAAGTCATATGTGATGCGACACCCTCTCTCAGCTCTGGACATGGCAGTCAGCCACAGCTCCCAATCAGCCATGCAGTCACTAGGGCAAACAACTCCACAGTATACTGTGCTCCTAAGGTAAAGGTTTGGTAAATTAGGTGTATAAAATCATTTTCAATTATAATATTTCAGCTTAGGGTGGGTTTATATCAGGAGTAACCCCATTGTAAGTTGAGCAGCTTCTACAGAGGTTTTCACAGACTGTTTTAGTAAACAAATGTCTATATATGAGTTTCCTTTGATTTTTTGTAGTAAAGGAAATCTGTAATTTCTTGTTCATCATCACGGTGTTCATACTCTATGGAAATCAAATATTTGTCTCACCCCACTGGATTATGAGCTCTGTGATGACATGATGAAGTACAGGCTGAGCATCCCTTATCTGGAATGCTCAGGACCAGAAATGTTTTAGATTTGGGAGTTTAGGATTTTAGAATATTTGCATCTACATGAGATCTTGGGAATGGGGCCCAAGTCTAAATGCAAAATGCGTTTGTGTTTCATATATATTTTATATAGCCTGAAGATAATTTTATTCAGTGTTTTTATAAATATTATAGTGCACCTGTGTTTTGAGTGCTCAGTTTTGGTTGTGGATTTCAGATTAGGGATGCTCAACCTATATATAGAAACTGATGGCTAGGACATCTGGTTCTTAATCTCATACCCAGAATCCACCATCATTTCCTCGACAATACTGCAGGTTTTCTTATCATGAGACAAAAAATTAATGGGTCCAAAACTGTCCTTAAAGAATTCACTAAAATAATGTAATTTTAGAACATGCAGCCAACAGGGTAAATGACCTTACCTGGGCAAGCTTACGCTTTTCTATGTTTCCTCCCTTTTCGCTGTGTAAAGTGTAAACTGGTGTATATTGTACCGAACCAGAACAGGTCCTGTAGTCTTCTTCATTTTCCTATACATGAAAAAATGAGCAAGGAATTATTTTAGCATATTTATTCTATTACCAAAGTTATTTGATTAATAGACTTAGTATCTGATACACATGCATACAATAAAAAACACTTCAACTATAAAATTTAAATAGTCTATTTAGGAACAAAGTACATTCTTCTAAAATGTGAATTAATTTTCATAATAAACTCTTGAATAACCTGAACTACTCTGAAAATTTCAATTATTATGCTTTCTTGAAAGGTGAAAGTAAAAACTGTAACAATTTATAATAAAATCTATCAATGTATAATCAAACAAAATACACATATACTGACATAATTATTCAAATACCTGCAATATCATAAATTTAAATATAAATCCTCATATACAAAATTAAGAATATTCTTCAATTTAAAGTAACTGTTTTGCAAAGAGCCTCTAAACCAAACAATGGCATTTCTGAATTAATTCTATTTCAAAGGTATCTTTTTTAAAAAAAAATTCTCAGCATGAATTGTAATATCAAGGCTATCAACTTTATGAAAACATACATCCGGTTAATCATCTTTGAAGATCTCCACAGTTCTGTGATAAAATATGCAAACAATAAAGAGATTGTTCAGTGTATGCATATAGAATGGCAGAGAGTTGCCAGAGGGCTTGTTATGAAAAATACATTTTTGAACAAAGGGATAAGCATATTTCAAAAGTCATTAAAAACATAAGTCTCATGTGATTTGTAAACATATAAGCTTCAGATGAAGACAACAGTGAGAGTAGAAGGAAACAACTCCACGCACCTTGTGCTTCAGTTTACTCTTCACTTCCTTCAATCCCAGCTTTGCGTGGTTTTTTGCCTAGAAAATAATAATGAATGTGTCTGGTTCAGCATAGGTCTATTAACACTTTAAAAATAAGTACACATGATCACATTTAGAATTACTATTTGCATTATTTAGAAAAGGAGCTGATTATAACCTAAAACTATTTTCCAAGACACCATCATTCACTATTTCATTATACCTAAATTAAATCATAATTAGGCTGTATTTAATATTTCCACAAATCACACAAAGGCTAACATTTAGTCTATTTTGTCTGGTAACCTATAAAAAACACAAGGGGGATCTACCAGATTTCTAAAGTACAGCCTTAATTTAAAATTGGGACAAGCTAGGGGCAAAGAGGAAGCATATCACACCAGAAAATTATTGGGGCAAATGTTTAAACTTCAAGAAACTCAGGCAACTTTACAAAATTTTATTAAGGTGCTTTTATAGGCAGTCACAGAAATTTTACAAATAAAGCCATTGTGATGGTATATCTATTTCATATATATATATATTTCTGGCAAAAATTAAAAGTCATTTAACACTTTGAAGGCTATCCGTTTTTCACGAAAGTTTGGCTCCAGATTTGAGTGTCCCAAGTCCTGCTGTGAAGTGTGTGGAGTATAACTTAACTAAAGACAACTGGGAGTTTCACAAAAGCCTTAGCCTTTGCTCTACTTGAAATTCCCATTCACTGTGGCCAGAGTGAAAAAGGAGAAGAAAGGAATACACATTTATTTTCTGTTTCCTAAATACATGATTGTGTGCTGGGTGCTTAGCATACATTATTTCTTTTAGTCATCACAGGTTGAAGTTCAGCATGATTGTTATCATATCTAACAAATAAGGAAAGTGACTCAGGAATAATAAGTCCACCTAGCAAGATTCAAATCTCAATCTATTTAATTATAAAGTCTAACTTCTCTTCTTTTAATTTATATTAAAATTATAGAGTCCAACTTCTCAAAGGAAGAAGTTGTAAAAAATATAATCACTGAATTTAAGTCTCACAAAAAAGAAGGCATTGTGAACCTCACTGTATAGACAGAGAAACTGAAGACACACATGCTAAAGACTTCAACTACAAAGCCCATGCTCCACTTAACCCATCCTGATCTCTCAAGGTGCTTTTAGAAAAAGTAAACACACGACTTTCCCAATTTCTTTGCAGAGAAGGATCTTATTTCCTTCCTGTTAATATCTGTAGTAATCAGTAGAGTATTTGGCATACCATAAGGAATATCTTGAACTGAATAAAACAATTAATTCTTCATTGTAAATGAAGCAAATTAAAACATACTACATAGTAAAAGTAATCCAAAAAGCCAATAACTCTAAATTATATCCTATTCTTCTTTAGACTTGATAAATAGCACTTTCACATTCTTCATTCATAAAGCTACCTAATCTAATTAAGAGGTCCTATATTAATTCCTGTATTTCATTGGTAAAAATATGTAATTACCAAGGAAAAATGCTTTTGTTCCCATCTCTTAAGAGTTTGTATCCATCTTTGCTTTTACTGCATTTGGACTATATTCTAGTTTATCCAGACATCCTCTAATCCACCTGATCATACTTATCTTTCCAGGTTCTCCTGTATCAAGTTGAAGCTAGTATTAATCTCTTCCATAGTTCTGCAATTTGTGCACTGATTAATTTAAATGTATACAACCCTGCCTACTCATTAGGTTTCCTTCATACTACCTAGAAGATGGAGCAGATTCTTTCTATCCTTTTCAATTCACCAAGCTGACATTCAACAATGTCAGCAACTATTCACTATAGAAACGCACCAAACAAATGGCTTTGACTAATGCAAGGATCTAATGAAAAGATTAATCAGAAAATCTTTTAGTCAAATCAAATATATAGTTCACTTTGCTGTAATTTTTAAATTATGAGAATGTGTGTTCCATCTCTTGTTTGCTTTATGGGCCCTTTTAATATGGAAAAGTACAGAAAGCAGAGAAAAAAACTTTCTAGCATAGAAATAAGTATAGAAAAAATATTATAAATACAGCACAAAATCATTATTTACTTCAACAAATACATATCCAGTACTTCAGTAGTATGTTCAAAACACAGGGTGAAATGATGCCAATATCAATATAACATCAGGAATAGCATCTCAATTACTTACAGTACTTTATATGCTAAGTTAACTCCATGATGAGAATGAGGCCCAGTTCATGACAGTTATTCAAATAATGTGTTTAGTGTATAAAACAGAGGCAAAAACATGGCCTCTGCTGCTTAAAAATATGCCACTTGTAGAAAATAAATAACTTCTGTTATACCCACATAAAAAAATTAGAAGTAGTATTCATAGCAATTTATAGTCAAAGAAGGAATTTTAGTGCACATATTTTAGAACATGAGCAATCTGGAGAGATCAGTTTTAGGTAAAATTATGAAGGTCACAAAATAACTGATTAACCTGCCTCGAACCTTTTGATTCATGTCTGATATGATATAAGATAAATGATAAAAAGTTATTAAGTATATTCTAAATACCATAATTTGTTGAAATTGATTTAGGGAATAATTCTCCAAAGAGCAGAATTCTTAATTTGAAAAGATTTCATTGCCTTGCAGAAAAGTGTTCAAAAGAAAACATCCTACTGCCTAGAAGGATCAAATTTTAAATAATGAATGAGTCTGTACATGTTTGTTTTATTATTGTACTTTTATAAAAGATAAGAGTGAAATTCAGGAGGAAAGCACACATTTAGCAAAACTATACAAGCTCTCTAGGCTTGCTCCAGGAATAAAATGAGGGCCTACTAACTGCAAAAACTTTCCTAGCATCTAGAATTTTGTGTAGCTGTGTGCTATTTCATTGTGAAAAATTTCCCTTCAAAAGCAACTTAAATCAGCCCATTAGAGGCAGTGATCTCCTAGAACAGCAAAGTCATGAGGAAACCAAACAAAAGGCAGAGGCTGAAGTTTCTAAGGCAAACTGATGACTTCTTTTCACTTAACGCTTTATGAAATGGCTTCAAGTAGTTCAGAATGTTAGAACTTTATTTTTGAATCTACTCTGTAGATTAGCTTCCCTACCAAAAAAAATGCAATCTTTGAAACAGATTTTTTTTCAATCGGAAGAGTAACTACATTTATATTGCAATTGCATGTAAGAAAAGAACATAAATTCTAAACATTAAAATACTTTATTATTATTTCTATCATATCAATTATTTATTGAGAAAGCACTTGAAGATAAATTTTTATAATACCACAATTACTACCCTGAATATATTTAGAAATATAGAATATATGTGACCTGTTGAACTTAAAAAAACAAACAAAACAAAAAAACTTCACTACCACTAGATAATCCCTGGAGAAGCTACTGGTCTAGTGTAGAGATAAACATATATGAAGACACAGCAAGTGCTGAAGCAAGTTCCTACAGTTCAAATGGAATCGTAGAAATAGTTCTATAAACTTAGTTGTTTTTTTATTGTTGTTGTTGTTTGTTTGTTTTTTCGGCATGGGATTGGGAAAACTTTTTTTCCAAGGGACATTAATAGATGAACCAGTGGTTTACTAGATGAATAAAGACCAAGAAATGGATGTTCTAAGTAGTAGGAACAACTTGAACAAGAATAGAAGGGCAGAAGAAAATATCTTGCATTAAAAAAATAAGGCATTGCTAAGTATGTTCAGACATATGAAAGTTTCAGAAGAATTGGGGAAAACAGAACAGAATACAGGAAGGAACAGGTAATGCAAGGTCTTAATTATCATATTTAAAGAGATTTTAAATTTATTATTTGTTCATTGTTACTGTGGTTATTGTAATTTACTACCTGCCATGGAGAATTACTGAAGAATTTTAATTTTGGAGACTCAATGAATCTGTGAGAGAAGAGATATTGCCACATTTTTCTACTTCTGCCTCAAATGCACAATGGAAATTTAAAATGAATGAAAGAATCAAATTTACAAAACAATACCTCCTCATGGACCGTTTTAATGTGCTGTACAATTGTGCTCGTAGCTTTGAAATAAAATGAAGAACCATTTTTAGATTATTTAAAGGAAATGCTCTTTCTATACACTAAGATAACTTTTTAGCTGAATTTCTGTTGGTCAATATTAATTCTAAAGTTTTTTAAAGCTTATTGAAAAATATATTGAATTCATATGTGTATCTTCTAGGGAGTATATAAATCTATCAATAAAATTATTAAATACCATAAAAACACTTACAAATTTATAAGCTGTCCGTACTGCAGGCGTTGCTTTGGTCATTGCTGTGTTGAACAGTGCACCTCCTTTCTGCAAAAGAAAAAAATGTTTCCAAAAACTTTTGGCAAACTGTTCTGAAAACAAAGCATTATTAGTAGTATACAAAAACAATTTTACTCACAAGTTAAATACCTTTTAAAATTATTTTTTAATGTTTTAAAATACTACAATAACTTAACTATAAACATTTGATTCTGTTCTTTTAGTTGGTATACTACATCATTTAAAAGACATATTATCTTTGAAGTTGCAGACAAGTAACATGGATAGTAAAACCTACATATTTAAAACTTAATAAAAAGGGAATAAAATATTTATCAGCTGTTTTAATATTGGGTAGTAAAGTTTAATCAATAGAAGAGAGATTTTTAAAAAAGTCATATTAACAAAACTATGTTATGAAGAAGTTATAAAATTTCCATGAAATCTGGCTATTCCAGCTAGTTCCTTATCTGGAATATAGTATAAAGTGACAAGAAAATATTGCTCTACAAAATATGTCATTTATCTCTAGACAGAAACTTTCAAATTTAAAATTATATTTATGAATATCAACAAACTATAAGCATAAAATAAGAATATGAGAAAATTTGCACACATTTCAAATATTATAAATAAGTAGCAAAGTATAAATAGCATACTTTTACTGATTTCTCCATATCACAGTGAAAGAAGAAACTTTGAAAGCATATTATTACCTTTACTGTATGTACCCATTGTTGATATGACCTTGGGTTCCCTGGAATACAGAAAATCTGATATCAGGAATCAAAAATAAAAATTTATAAATTAAAATTCATCAATAACTAGTATTTCTAGCATCTTAGTAGGCAAATTTTACTTACAATGTTGTAAAAGATGCAATGGCACAATGAGAATTAATGCTTTAATTTTTATAATTAGCACTTGAAAAGACACTTTTTTCACTGACATATGAAAATAATATATTATTATCTATTCTTTTATTTTCATATTGGCCTCAGAGGGAATATCTCACCTCTTTTCAAATCCAAAATTTCTATTTTTTTAAACTTAATTTTCAATGTTTTATGTCTCTGCTGTTTTGTAAAAGTTGGCCTTTTTTACATAATTTTACTTAAAATGCCACTCAAGTGCAGAGAGAAGTGTGAAAAATTCAGAAGGAAATTTGGAGCTGAACGAATCTGAGGTACAACAAATTTATTCTGTGGTTGTTAATTATTAACACATTAATTAACTTTATTTTAATGCAATTAAACCACAGTTTTAGTTCTGAGCATATTCTCTGGTTACAAATCTATAAATTTGAAAGGTATCACCCAAGGAAATGTAAAGCAAATGTAGCTTTTAAGCTACAGTGTACCTGGTTATTATTATTACAAAGCTCAAATGCTGACAAAAACTAGTTCTAATACAATTTGGAACTGACTGACTTTGAAATACGGTAAATAATTTGGCCAATAAAATGAGATTCAAAGGCAAAAAAGTAATCCATATTACTAGCCTAATCTTTCATATCAACTGATTTCAACTACTTTCTTGTTAGTATAAATGTTTAAATATTCTCTAAAGAAGGGTGAAAAATCACAATAAAATGTCTTACTAGGTGTAGTGGCAGTGGCACACTCCTGCAATCTCAGACTCAGGAGGTTAAGGCAGGAGGATGGCAAGTTCAAAGCCAACCTGGGCAATTTAGCAAGACCCTATACCAACATAAGCAGTAGAAAGGCCCCGGAATGTAGCTTAGGGGTAGTGTATCCTTGTGCTCAATTCCCAGTAACTTCCTTCTAAAACAAACAAAAAATCAAAGTGCCAGTGGCTACCCTGTCAATAACCAGGTACAAGTGACTTCTAAAAATGGTGTTCCTTTGTTTGTGGTTGTGGCTTAGAGAGGTGGGGAGGAGAAGTACCACCTTGCTGTTACAAAAACAGAAGCAGAATGATCCCAGCCTAAGAATTTTTTTCCTGTTATTCTTTGTAACCCTAATAAACATCAGGCAAAGCATTGTGCTCTGGATTCACTCTTAGACTTAAAATCTTTTCCTAATTTAAAGAAGTATCAAGAAATCACTTTTATTCTGATAAACTTTTATTCTGATAAACATCTCTCACCACTCCACACTGCATTATGCCTTTTTTGGAGAAAATAATCTAGAGAGAAATACTATATATTTTTTTAATTTTGTAAATGACTACACAAAAATGTATCTACCTAAAATAATTTATGTAAAATAAGTTTAAAAGGGTAAGCTTTAAGAGGTCTTGGCTTGTCCAAAATTTTTAAAATGTATTTTCCATTGTAAAATAACAAATTCCAAGTTATCCTATAAATTTATTTCTCAAGGAGATTTTTATTAATGATAAAATTAAGTGCATATTTTTATTCATCCAGATTATTCACTCGTCTATTAAAAAGTCTCATCAGTTCATATATTTTTTACTTCTTTATTGTTAAAAATGATTGAGTGAAAATCATGAATTTAAGATTTAGATGTTATTTACAGTTATTCTGTAAAGTATTTAATTATTTTCCTAAAATGAATTTAAGAAATCAGAGAAATGCCAATAATATAACACTTCAGCATTTTTGGATACTCAAACACAAAGAAAATAGCTATGATAAGACAATGGATCTGTTATAGAAAGATTAGTGTCTTATTTAGGATTGTAAGGTTTAAAAAAAGTTCCTACTGAGCTCTCCACAGGTCACAGATGTTTTTATCTACATTATGTTATTCGATCTGAACATTTCTACTATAAAACAGGCAAAGCAGGCAATGCCATAGGCAACATAGCTGGATGGGAAGGAAGCAGCATTTGGTGTGCAACAGACCTTTGTAGTCCAGATCCACCCTGCAAACCATGTGATATGGAACTAGGTTCTTAATAGCAGAGTCTCACCCTCCTTATTGGTCAAAGCCTATCATTGACTTTTAGGATTAATGTATATAAGAATGAAAGATAATTATTATATGATATTTAGTAGGGTACCTAACACATCACAGAACCACCATAAATGTTAGTTATTATTAATTATTATTAATAAAGTTTCCAAATAAGGAAGCTGTGGTTCTGAGATGATACATTCTTTGCCCAAATTTGGAAGTCTAACAACCAAGAAAGAATAATCTAGGCATTTTAATTCCTGGTTCATTATTCTTTCAACTCTGAAATACTATCTCTAAGACTACTTAGTAAAATATCAGAACATTTAAGTTATACAGAGGTTTCTCTGTATCACCTCCAAAGCAATTACATTAGAAAGGGATGCTGGGTGCAGTGGTGCACGCCTGTAATCCCAGCAGCTCTGGAGGCTGAGATAGGAGGATCATGAGTTCAAAGCCAGCCTCAGCAAAAGCAAGGCACTAAGCAACTCAGTGAGACCCTGTCTCTAAATAAAATGCAAAATAGGGTAGTGGACCAGGCTCAGTGGTTGAGTGCCTGCCGAGTTCAACTCCCATCCCCTCCCCCAAAAATAAAGAAAAAAGAAAAAGAAGAAAGGGAGAGGGGTTGCTCAAGCTAGAGCTTTGAAAGGGAAATTAAAAATCTAGAATAATATAAAACTATGACATATGAGGGCAAACAGTAATTCCCTAGGAATAAATAAACTGGTTAAGATGACAGCAAAATGTGAAACAATTTAGGTAGATTCCCGTTTTAAAAAATTTAAGGATTGTATCCCTAAATTTTAATGTTTTATGACATAAGTAAGGTTCCTATTTCTATGAAATTTATGAGACAAGCACATAATCCTTTGGTAATGTTAAAAAAAAAAAGGCTGCTTTTCTTCTTAAAAATTAATTTGAATGCAAAAAATAATCCATCAATGTTTCTTTTAAGTTAACTGTTTCAGGCAATTAACAAGCCTTATTTAAAAATTTTAACATTCTTATTAAACAACTCATTTTGACTTACTCAAGGACAAAATATCTTTAGCTTTCACTTATGCAAAGACTGTTTTTTCAAATGTATTTGTTTAAATTCCAGTAAAGTATAGTTATTTATCAAAATATGTAAATTGATCTAAAGTGCTTATGTGGCCAGAAAAATGCCACTAAAACTGATAAATATCTACTACCTCATCAAATTCTTTAATACCTTAGTCAGTAAAAAGAAATAAACAAAGATCTGACCAGATTATATCAGGAAGCTAATGAGGAAATAATGCTACTAATGAAGAGTACCCACATACTTCTATATAAAAATCAACATTAAAATAGTTCTCCTTTCTAAAGTTTAGACTATTTGATGAGGATTTAAAAACTAGTATTATTTTAACTGAAAATATATTTACAAAACAACATTCCTATTAAACTTTCTTGAGTGGCTTTCACAGACTATTTAGGAAAAAGAACCTTAGTTTGGTGAGTCTCAGCCTCATCATTCATCTTAACAGTCAATGGCTTTTAGGATTAATGTGAGTATGAAAGATAATGATGATATGATGTTTAGCAGGGTATCTAACACATCCCAGAAATATCATGAGTGTTAGTTATTATTATGAATAACTTGTCAAATGAGGAAACTGTGGCTCTGAGATGATCTGTGTTTACCTAATTGAGTCTTGTTATATTCATGTCCTCTTATATTTCAACATCCATGGATACATTTCCCTTCATATATTTCCTGGTATACTATTCTTATAAATTAAGATTAAACATTCTGCAAAAGTGATGAAAAGAATCAAGTATAACATGAATTGCTTAGTAGTCCTGATATGAAAACTTATGGGACAGAAAAAGGTTTTATAAAATCTCTATGAATTCATAGATTATTTAATCATATTTCTAGATTCAAATGTGAATCTAAATGTTCTATATCTGATTATACTGCCTTGTATAATTTTAATTAGAACCACAATTATACCATACTCAACAATCATTTTATCATAAAACAAACACTAGCAACAAAAATAGCATACAAATTACTACTGTCATGATGTATAGATGCTTCCCTAAATTTTCCTAATTATTTTTGCTTAAAGAAACTTAATTTTGTTCTTCAGTTTTAGTTAATTGTTGATTTCTCTTACAGTGATCTTTTCTGTGCTTGATGTATAAACAAGTCTTCAAGATATGGTCAGAAATATAGGACTTTTGCTTTTATTCAGAGAAGAGAGGGCTTAAGTGCTACTTTTGCTTACAACCTGTTCCCTTATTAATATCTCCTAGTATAAAAACATAGATATGCTATAGTCATTACCACAAGAGCTTTGAAACTAGGTAGATATGTGCCGAGTTTAGACTGGTCTCTACTTCCTATGCGACTTTGAGAGAATTACTGAATTGAGTGCCTTCATATAAATGGACTAGTCAAAATGCCTCTTAGAGTGTAGTCAGAATAAAATGAGAATTTCTGACACATATTAGTACTCAATAAACATGAACAATTACTACAGTTACTGTAAGAGAAATGAGAGTTATTACTGTTTACATTTTACAGGTGAATGTCATGGCAGATATACTCTTCCTTCTCCTGAGTATACTAGATGACACATTTGGAGGAGACCACCAAGAAATATTTTTGGAAATAAACAGACAGATATGTCCTAATTAGTAGTTAGAAGAATATTGCTAATTTTATTAGTCATTTTTCTTATTTCAAATCCTAGTGAATTATGCTTTATTTTCTAAGAATAATCTCCATGTATATCTAAAAGAATGTAAAATACAACTAAAAATAAAATTTGATAGGTATTATTTTAAGGTACTTCTTTATTTACTGAAATGAGTAATTGCTGAACTAGGATTTCCTTTGGGATAGGTTATTTGCTCCCTCAAATTAGAATAAAAGCTCAAAAACATTTTCTGTACTAAATTGTACTAAAGAACAACAAAGCAATTGAAATTGAGTTGAACTAACAATGTGGCAGTCTCTAAGTCAGATGATAACCAGTGATCATATTTCCCTATTATTTTTTAAGTGATAAAATCTTTAATTAAAAAAAATCTTAAGTTATCCTCTTCCACCAGAAAAGCCATCTATTTCTACTTTATTACAGAGGTATCTTGAGCAATGGTTAAGACCACAGAATTTAACTGTATAAAAGGATCATAGTTCTACCCCATTACTGTCACAAGATGTCAACTTCAATTCTATAAAAGCTACTAGCCCCACGGGTCATAAAGATAATGAGACACCAGTTATGTAAATACTGAATAGATGCCTCAAGCAATTTGTCCATAAGCTGACAATATTTTGCTTGTCTTAGTTGAAAAGTAAAACAGCATTATTTTAACACAAAATTTCCATTGAAGCTAAATTTTTCCCTAAGAGCTAAGGAAAGCAAGGAGTTGAATGATTCCATATGCAGCTTACCTACTAAGTCAAATAGAACTTTTTCCCCAAGCTAAATGCTATCAATAAAATGCTGTACCTTAGATAAAGGTCTGCAATTGCAAAATTCATTTGTACTTCTTTTAATGAAAAAAATGTATATTTATTTCTATATTTTAAGGTGAGGAAATAAATCTTATTTAAGAATAAAATTAAAATTTGTTAAATTTATAGATGAATACTTATGACTTTTTATCTTTTCATGTTTTCTCAATTCTAACAACTATTTATTCATGCAGACTAAAAACTTCTTTTCTTCAAATATAACTACAAAGAGTTGAAAAAAACGCTATTATACCAGGTTAAAAACAAACACACCAAGATATAGAGGGAAAAAATCTTTATTTTGCTTGCCTGGTATCTAGAACAATACATAGTAAGGACTCAGTAATACTGCCTGAATGAATGAATAAATGGGACATTTCAAGGACTCAACCAAAATTCTATGTAAGTTGCGACTATATACTAGAACATCTGTGCACAAAACATCAATCTATAAATCATTAGTTGCCCATATAATTATATTTTTGGATATTTACATTTGAATAATTAATTATACTTATGGGAATCTTGTGTGACACCATAAATACAATACACCAGAGGGCGGGAGAATTAGTTATATTTATGTAATGATATACTTTTCCTAAAGCTGAAGTGATCTGCAAAGTAAAATAGGAAAAGACTTCCATAAAATAATACACTTACATAAAAATGCAGAATGAGTTATGGTGTTCACATATTTCCCTTTAGATTATATTACATATGCCATTTCAATCCGAATCTCAGTTTTTAAATTCATACTCAGAAATTACCACTACAATTATTTTCTGGTAGAGACAACTATTTAGGAGGAAAGGCAAAAGGATATATATTTAATGGACTTCTATTATTCATTTGCAGTATTATTAGGAGATTGTCCAAGTCAACAGCTACCAATTCATGAAGACAAACTTAATGCCTTGAATAACAGATATCAAACAAAATTACTTGATATTGATATTATAAGATGAAAAATATACTTAAGACATTATGTATATACAGAAGAAAAGAGTTGTTTATGAAACAGAATATATAAATTCAAGTACAAAAATCAAGATAATTGTTATTTTAAAAATGGATAATAATATTGTAAATAGGTTTTACCTCCACAAAAGCCACCTGAACTGATTTCTTCTTCAAATACATCAGAGAAACCCCTTCCTGCATTTAGTTTTGCCAGTCGACCATCTATAAACTGAAAAGTATCAAATATGTTAATTTTTCATTTACTTCACAATATTAAATTTTCACTTATATCAAAAATATTAATAGCAGATTTTCCCTCATATAATCACATATAATATGATATACATATACATACAGAATAAGAAATTCTCAAAACAATGCAAAGAGCAGGTGCTCAGTAAACAGCAGCCAATTAGTTAAACCACAATGAACAATTACTACAGTTACTGTAAGAGAAATGTCCAGCACAGACTGTAGTTTTCTTAAAAATAAGAAATGGCAAACTATAGCAGTAAAGGTCATAGGCTCTGGAAAGGTAACTCAGTGTACAATCTCCACAGAAGAGTTTGCACAAAAGCACATCTGCCTTGCCAAGAGCCATTTGTCCCTGAGGTTGTATCTTCCCTCACCAGTACCTGTCTCCTGGTGTTACTGCAAACATGAAATTATAATAACTTACGTTAGTGTTCTTAACATAGCCTCTGACACAGTAAGTGTCCAAGAAATGTCAGACATTACTACTTTTGAGATTAATATTGACTTTAGTGAAATAAAACTTTCCTTGTCTAAACTATTATGTCCTAAAGTGTAATAGGGTGTTGAGAAGTTCTAATCATTTAATAATAAAATAAAAATAACTTTCACAATTTCTGGCTTATTTGCTCACTGGATGATCAAAGTTAAAATTATTAATTCAAACATAGTTGAGATAAATACATATTGCTTTGACTATAAGTTTCTTTTAAAATTGTTTTCAGTGTTCTTAAAGAAGAAACTGCAGTGAGATGCAGAAGCCAAGATAAGCATCAAGAAATACTTTTTAAATTACAATTACCTTGCAGGGCACCTCCCAACCATTCTGCCCTGTTCCTACCTATCCCAACATATACAGCATAGTAAAGTCTTGTGGTTTTGCTACTGCATTTGAAAAATATCTCCACATAATTTTATATGATCAACCTCAAGTGAAAATCTGTGATATATTTTATTTTTTTTTATTGGTTGTTCAAAACATTACAAAGCTCATGATATATCATCTTTCATACATTTGACTCAAGTGGGTTATGAACTCCCATTTTCACCCCAAATACAAATTGCAGAATCACATCAGTTACACATTCACATTTTTACATAATGGCATATTAGTGACTGTTGTATTCTGCTACCTTTCCTATCCCCTACTATCCCCCGTACCCTCCCCTCCCATCTTCCCTCTCTACCTCATCTGCTGTTGTTCAATTCTTTCCCTTGTCCCCGCCCCCTTTCCCCTCACAACCTCTTATATGTAATTTTGTGTAACATTGAGGGTCTCCTACCATTTCCATATGATTTCCCTTCTCTCTCCCTTTCTCTCCCCCCACTCGTCTCTGTTTAATGTTAATCTTTTCCTCATGCTCTTCCTCCCTGTTCTGTTCTTAGTTGCTCTCTTTATATCAAAGAAGACATTTGGTATTTGATTTTTAAGGATTGGCTAGCTTCGCTTAGCATAATCTGCTCTAATGCTATCCATTTCCCTGCAAATTCCATGATTTTGTCATTTTTTATTGCTGCGTAATACTCCATTGTGTATAAATGCCACATTTTTTTTTTATCCATTTGTCTATTGAAGGGCATCTAGGTTGGTTCCACAGTCTAGCTATTGTGAATTGTGCCGCTATGATCATTGATGTGTCAGTATCACTATAGTATGCTCTTTTAAGGTCTTCAGGGAATAGTCCGAGAAGGGCAATAGCTGGGTCAAATGGTGGTTACATTCCCAGATTTCCCAGGAATCTCCATACTGTTTTCCAAATTGGCCTCACCAATTTGCAGTCCCACCAGCAATGTACAAGTGTACCCTTTTCCCCACATCCTCGCCAACACTTGTTGTTGTTTGACTTCATAATGGCTGCCAATCTTACTGGAGTGAGATGGTATCTTAGGGTGGTTTTGATTTGCATTTCTCTGACTGCTAGAGATGGTGAGCATTTTTTCATGTACTTGTTGATTGATTGTATGTCCTCCTCTGAGAAGTGTCTGTTCAGGTCCTTGGCCCATTTGTTGATTGGGTTATTTGTTATCTTATTGTTTAATTTTTTGAGTTCTTTGTATATTCTGGATATTAGGGCTCTATCTGAAGTGTGAGGGGTAAAAATTTGTTCCCAGGATGTAGGCTCTCTATTTACCTCTCTTATTGTTTCTCTTGCTGAGAAAAAACTTTTTAGTTTAAGTAGGTCCCATTTGTTTATTCTTGTTATTAACTCTTGGGCTATGGGCGTCCTATTAAGGAATTTGGAGCCCGACCCCACAGTATGTAGATCGTAGCCAACTTTGTCTTCTATCATACGCAGTGTCTCTGATTTGATATCTAGCTCCTTGATCCATTTTGAGTTAACTTTTGTGCATGGCGAGAGAAAGGGATTCAGTTTCATTTTGTTGCATATGGATTTCCATTTGTTGAAGATGCTATCCTTCCTCCATTGCATGCTTTTAGCCCCTTTATCAAATATAAGAAAGTTGTAATTTTGTGGATTGGTCTCTGTGTCCTCTATTCTGTACCATTGGTCCACCTGCCTGTTTTGGTACCAGTACCATGATGTTTTTGTTACTATTGCTCTGTAGTACAGTTTGAGATCTGGTATCACTATACCTCCAGATTCACACTTCCTGCTTAGAATTGCTTTTGCTATTCTGGGTCTTTTGTTTTTCCATATGAATTTCATGATTGCTTTATCTATTTCTACAAGATATGCCATTGGGATTTTGATTGGCATCGTATTAAACCTGTAGAGAACTTTGGGTAATATAGCCATTTTGATGATGTTAGTTCTGCCTATCCATGAACAGGGTATATTTTTCCATCTTCTAAGATCTTCTTCTATTTCTCTCTTTAGGGTTCTGTAGTTTTCATTGTATAAATCTTTCACCTCTTTTGTTAGGTTGATTCCCAAGTATCTTATTTTTTTTGAGGATATTGTGAATGGAGTGGTTTTCCTCATTTCCATTTCAGAAGTTTTGTTGCTGATATACAGGAATGACTTTGATTTATGCGTGATGATTTTATATCCTGACACTTTGCTGAATTCATTTATTAACTCTAGCAGTTTCTTTGTAGACCCTTTTGGGTCTGTTAAATATATTATCATGTCATCTGCAAATAGCGATAATTTAAGTTCTTCTTTTCCTATTTTTATGCCTTTAATTTCATTTGTCTGTCTAATTGCTCTGGCTAGTATTTCAAGAACTAAATTGAATAGAAGTAGTGATAGAGGGCATCCCTGTCTTGTTCCAGAGTTTAGAGGGAATGCCTTCAGTTTTTCTCCATTTAGGATGATGTTAGCCTGAGGTTTAGCATATATAGCTTTTACAATGTTGAGGTAAGTTCCTGTTATTCCTAGTTTTTCTAGTGTTTTGAACATAAAGGGATGCTGTACTTTGTCGAATGCTTTTTCTGCATCTATCGAGATGATCATGTGGTTCTTATCTTTAAGTCTATTGATGTGGTGAATAGCATGAATAGCATTTATTGATTTCCGTATATTGAACCAGCCTTGCATCCCAGGGATGAATCCTACTTGATCATGGTGCACATTTTTTTGATATGCTTTTGTATTTGATTCACCAGGATTTTATTGAGAATTTTTGCATCCAAGTTCATTAGAGATATTGGTCTGTAGTTTTCTTTCTTTGAAATGTCTTTGTCTGGTTTCGGGATCATGGTGATGTTGGCCTCATAGAATAAATTTGGAAGAGCTTCTTCTTTTTCTATTTCTTGAAATAGCTTGAAAAGTATTGGTATTAATTCTTCTTTGAAGGTTTTGTAAAACTCCGCTGTATACCCATCCGGTCCTGGGCTTTTCTTGGTTGGTAGTCTTTTGATGGCTTCTTCTATTTCTTCCTTTGTTATTGGTCTGTTTAAATTGTGTGTGTCTTCCTGACTCAATCTGGGCAGATCGTATGACTTAAGAAATTTATCGATATCTTCACTATCTTCTATTTTATTGGAATATAGGGTTTCAAAATACTTTCTAATTATCTTCTGTATTTCTGTAGTGTCTGTTGTGATATTGCCTTTTTCATCCCATATGTTAGTAATTTGAGTTCTCCCTCTTCTTCTCTTCGTTAGCATGGCTAAGGGCCTGTCGATCTTATTTATTTTTTCAAAGAACCAACTTTTAGTTTTATCAATTTTTTCAATGTTTTTTTTTGTTTCGATTTTGTTGATTTATGCTCTGATTTTAATTATTTCTTGTCTTCTACTACATTTGCTGTTGTTTTGCTCTTCCTTTTCTAGGTTTTTGAGGTGTAGTGTGAGTTCATTTATTTGTTGTTTTTTTTCTTTTTTTGAGGAAAGAACTCCAGGAAATGAATTTCCCTCTTAAAACTGCTTTCATTGTGTCCCATAGATTCCGGTATGTTGTGTCTGTATTGTTATTTGTCTCTAAGAATTTTTTTATCTCCTCCTTTATGTCTTCTGTAACCCATTGATCATTCAGTAACATATTGTTCATTTTCCATGTTATGTAGGATTTTTCCTTCCTTCTTTTATCATTGATTTCCAGTTTCATTCCATTATGATCAGATATGGTGCATGGTATTATCTCCACACCTTTATATTTACTAAGAGTTTCCCTATGGCATAATATATGGTCTATCTTTGAGTAGGATCCATGTGCTGCTGAGAAGAACATGTATCCACTTGATGATGGTTGATATATTCTATATATGTCGGTTAAGTCTAGGTTATTGATTGTGCTATTGAGTTCTATAGTTTCTTTATTCAGCTTTTGTCTAGAGGATCTGTCTAATGGCGAAAGCGGTGTGTTGAAGTCACCCATAATTATTGTGTTGTCTATTTGACTCTTGAACTTGAGGAGAGTTTGTTTTATGAACGTTGCAGCTCCATTGTTTGGTGCATACAAATTGATAATTGTTATGTCTTGTTGGTGGATGGTTCCTTTTAACAGTATATAGTGTCCTTCTTTATCCCTTTTGATTAACTTAGGTTTGAAGTTGATTTTATTCGATATG